TAGCAGTTAAGAATTGACGGAATTTATCTGGTTCTTGGAGCTTGCAACCGATGTAGGCTTTCTTGCTGTGATCGTTGTCATCAAGCTGGACGGGATCGAGGTCTTCTATGGTTGATTCTGTGGCTTCTACTGTTTCGGGATCTCTGATGACGTCTTCATTTTCATCGCAACTCGACCTCGGCCCTATTAATTGCTATGCCTCTTTTGCTTTGGCCTTCATTTGTTGGATGGTCGTACAATCCAGGGCGCTGTGGTAGCATTCTCGAGATGTACGTTGTTTTCCTCGTATGCTTAATATTCCCCATGGGGTTGGGAATTTGATAACCTGGTACAAACTGGAGGGGGCGACCTTCATGGCGTGTATCTAGGGTTGGCCTATTATAGCGTTGTACGCCGTATCCTGGTCCATGGTGTGGAATGTGGTTTCCAGAGTGACGTCGCCGGCCAGGACGGGAGTGTGATTTCTCCACATGTTCGTTCAACTACATTGTTAAAACCTGTTAGCCTGATGCACTGCGGCACTATCATATCCTCGAGTTTCATTTGTGCAAGTACTCTAGGGTAGATAATACACGCGCCGCTCCCATCACCTACCATAATGCGTCTCGCATCTGTATCGAATATGCGTAAAGTGATAATTAGGGCATCACAATGAGGGAAAATCAAATCGTGGGTATCTAACTTATCAAAGATGATACATTTTTCGAGTTCGTCATATCGTTCGTGAGTGATCAACAGTTTGAGCTTGTGGGTTGTGGTAAACTTTACGTTGGTTACTGAAGCGTCGTCGCCGCCCCCGATGATCATTTGAATGGTGCGGGTTGGTGAGGGTTTTTTCGGTGGTCCCTGGTGCTGCTCATGTCCTCGGGCAAAGTTGGTCCTCCCCCGATCACTCAGCAATTCTTTGATGTGTCCATGGCGAAGCATGTTCACGACCTCCTGCCTTAGGGCGATGCAGTCCTCAGTCTTGTGACTTGCTCCCGGTGGAACTCGCACAGGGCGTCCGACTTTCAGGTGCATGGATCTGGCCTTATCTTTTGTGGCCACCTTACTTTTGGTCCGAACTTCTCCAATGCGTACACTATTTCTGAAGGTGATACATAAAAAATATGAGCGGATAACAAATGGGGCATATCTCTCTCGTTCCGGTGAGTCCCTGTCCTTGATCTAGGTGGACCCTCTTCGCAGCGTGAGGGGGCATGATGGCACTTCTAATATACGGCTGATATCGTTCTCGGTTAGATTGTGGAGCTGCGAGATCTTTCCTGACATTGTTTCTTTGATCCCCCCTGGACTCGGCCTGTACCGAGGTCAACCAATGAGTTGGCCTATTTAGGTCGTCCTCGTCTGCACGGACAACGATACAGTAGGCGTTATGTATTTCATCTAAAGGTGTCTAACGGGCCGGGTTGACCCGTAACCGGACCAGCCCAGATCGGTTAAAACCGGAACCGGACCAGCCCGGTACATAGGGGTTGGGTAGGAGGGGTAGAGGGGGTTGGTCTGTTTAAATTTTGGTAACGGTTAACCAGACGGGTCAAATCCGGTCCACGTGAACAGTACCATGTACCGGTTAAATTTTGAATTAAGTGGGGCCCACTAACCGTTGGCAACGGTCAGACCTGGCAGGGATCCGTTGCCCGACGGGTTAATTGCATTAATAGCCTATTTTTTCTTTAAAATTTAACCTTTTTCAATTTACAAAATTAACCTTCTCTAAAACTATAAATACACTCCCCTCTTCTTCATTTCTTCACTCAACTCTCATTTCTCAATCTCAATTTCTCTCGTTCTCTCATTCTCCAATTTTCAATATTTCAAGTCTCAATCTCAAATTCTCAATTCTCAAATCTCAATTCAATTTAAATCATGCCTCGTACTTCTAGAGTGCGCTCATATGTTTGGCAACACTTTGAGGTAGTAGAAGAAAATGAAGAAGGTCAGAAAGTAAAGTGCAAGAACCGTGGTCAAGTCTTAAATTTTCGTTCAAAGTCTGGCACATGCAGTTTAAGGAAGCATATAAAGTATTGTCTTGAGCGTCCTCCGGAAATTCGTATTTAAGATTTTAAGACAATTTGTGTTATTTTAAAATTATTAGACGTATTTATGCTTAATGTTTTAGTTTGTTAGATTAATTTGAAGTATTGTTAATTTATTATGCATGAAAATT